CAATATTCTAGTACAGGTAGAAATGCTGAGTCATTATATTAATTTAGAATAATGCTTAACTCTCTCCTTGAAACTATTTCCTTGAAAAGCATACATGGCTCATATTTCTTTCCTGTCTAGTAAAATAGCTACGATATTAAATAATGACAAAGGACACTTTAATTTTCCCAATTCTTACTTCAGATTTTGATCATTCAGGGGGGAAAAAATGCTGACTAGCCTGCTTGTACTCATTTTCTGCCAACTGTCCTTAGGCAGTGACCTCTGTATGACTTTCCACACTGCAGAGCTCAACCTCTCATGGGACCTAATTTCCTTCCATAATAATTTGTCTACAACTGGCTTTAAAAAGGCATTGTTTTGATAGAATGCTCCAGATTAAAAACAGACTGTAACTTTAGGAGAGTAGCCCCAGTTCTTTGATGACAGGACAGCTTGAAGATGCAGCACATTGATGTTGAGCCTAATACAATTTTTTTTAACACTAAGGAAATAAAAATACATAGGTATTACAAGCAAAATTTGGAAAAAAAAATGTTTACTCTGCCATTTAAGCAACACAATTTGGAAAAGTGTAAAACAGTGAGATGAAGGCTAATGAGTCTTTATTTGTACCACATCTGTTTTGTTCACAGCCACACAGTCAGATGTTGGCCCAACTAGCACATCATCAACACTCACATATTTGTGGAAGGACCATGTGACTGCATTGCTTGCAGGTGGTTGGGAGAAATGGAGAAACTTCTGGTTATTTTTCTGTGGCATTATTAACTTCATTTTCCAACTGGTCCATTTTCTCCAAATCAGATTTTATTACCCTCCTCTTCCTTTATCTTTTCCACCTTCTTTCTCCCCCAATACTTTGAAGTATAAAGTGCCCAATTGTTATGTATTGGTGTGGTAAGCATGACTGTATGTAACAGAGGTTTGAGAAAAGTGAAAGTGAAGAAAATTTTTCCTTTTTCTTCCTTCTAATATTCTCAGGTGAAAAATTAGCTACTTCTGAGAATTATTTGATTCCAGGGTTGTAGGGTGAAATGGATATAGTGAAGGTATCGACCAAAGAATTTTTTAAAATACATTTTTTATTGATTTCAAAGAGGAAGGGAAAAGGAGAGATAGAAACATCAATGATGAAGAAGGAAACTTGA